AATTTTGCGACATCAGAAATGGATATTATATAATAGATGCTTTTTTTGAACATTTTAGCGATTTAAAAATATTAAAAAATGATTTTTTTACACTGCACCCTGCTCTCGACTGACGGCAACCCGGTTGGGAAACCCTGTATTAGACAAACAGTGCGGGTTAGAGAAAAATTTTTTTTTAAGCTGGAAGGTTTTTTTTTTTTTTTTTTTTTAAAGGTAAAAATAAATAATTAAAAAAAAAATGCCGTTCCAACTTAATGAAAAATATCATATGTATGATATTTGTCTAGATTTTCTCAGTTCAATCCTGAAAAAGCCTACTCTACCTTTTCTTAGTTGGGAATGTCGTTGTGCATTCACATTTTTCTTTTCTTTTTTTCCCAGTATACATGAAATTGAGAGGCGTGCCCTGCCAGAGTTCTTCAATGGCAAAAACAAATCGAAGACTCCAGAGATGTAAGTTTGCACATTTAATTCACATTAAAATTTAATTCACATTTTCTTTCTCAACTTTCATACTTTGTTTATTGCCTCTTCCTTAGCTATCTGGCTTATCGTAACTTCATGATTGACACATACCGGCTGAATCCTCAGGAGTACCTGACCTCCACCTCCTGCAGGAGAAACCTCACCGGAGATGTCTGTGCAGTCATGAGGTCAGAATTTTCATTTACCTTCAGAATTTATTAGAATATTATGCAGAGAGCCTTGCATTCAGTGTTGTCTTTTTTCCCCCAGAGTGCATGCCTTTTTGGAGCAGTGGGGGCTGGTGAACTATCAGGTTGATTCTGAGAGCAGACCCCTTCCCATGGGCCCTCCACCAACCCCACATTTCAATGTTCTGACTGATACTCCCTCTGGCTTGGTGCCGCTGCACCACCGCCCTCCACAGGTGAGACTGGGGTGACTTCCCTTTTAATTCTCAGAAGGCACAAGCTTTCTTGTGAAACAGTTGCAATAGTCTTTGCTTTTCATCCCAGGTTCCCCCTGCTCAGCAGATGCTGAACTTCCCAGAGAAGGGCAAAGACAAGCCAACTGACCTGCAGAACTTTGGCCTCCGTACAGATATTTACTCAAAGAAGAATCCCAAGGCAAGTCACCTAATACTAGACCTAGTTGTCAATGCTTTTTTTTCCCCATAGTTTTTTGATGTAATCATTTGCCTTACAGGGTAAAGGGGCTGCAGGTGGGAGAGAGTGGACTGAGCAAGAAACATTGCTTCTGTTGGAGGTGAGATCTGAATCAGTGGGCATCATAAACTCAGGATTCTCCTTTCATACCAGTTTGTTTTAATAATATATTTTGAATTAACCATTCCAGGCTCTGGAGATGTATAAGGATGACTGGAATAAGGTTTCTGAGCACGTGGGCAGCCGTACACAAGATGAGTGCATCTTGCACTTCCTGCGGCTGCCCATAGAGGATCAATACCTGGAGAGCTCTGAAGCCTCACTAGGCCCTTTGGCTTACCAGCCGATCCCCTTTAGCCAATCAGGAAATCCTGTCATGAGCACTGTTGCATTCCTTGCCTCTGTGGTCGACCCGCGTGTGGCGGCGGCTGCTGCCAAAGCAGCTTTGGGTATGTTGTCAAGTTTTGGTGTATCCACCTTTTTTTTTTTTATGTAAGAGAGAATGTAGCCATTTGTAATTTCAATGTGCTGGGCTTCCGGTGTCATTAATTGCACATCAGTTTGGGGTGAGAAATTACCCCCAAAAGATGAAGTCATCATTGTGTTAAATGAGAAAAGCAATGAATCGACATTACAAAAAAAAGAGTGTTAGGCTTATTTTGATTCAACAGAATTTATTACAGAAACTTTTAAGGCTACAATGTGACCATATCATTCTTTTCCGAAGCTGCATTTGAAGTGGCATTTAGGTATTTAGCCAAACTGTTCAGAGGTAGCATGAATGAATTGATACATAATGCTATAAATTAATGGATTTTAAATGGTCATGAATGGGATTTAAACATTTAATATTGAAATATAAAATTATTTTTTTCATTGGAATGACACTCTAAATATGAAACTAAAACTGCAAGTTGGTGGCGGCAAATCACTGTCTTAATGAGTGAGTCGTTTATTCATTTAACAGTTTAGTTCAGCCCACTGATTCATTCAGAAACTTAGCAAGTGACTGGCTTGAATCATTGGCTCACTCAATACGTAAAAAAAAAAGCTTATTCATTCAGTATTGTAACACCGCTGTGGCTTTGTTCGGAAGTGTTTCCGTTGCTGAAATTGAGAAAAAAATCACTATACTGAGTCTGACAATGCTGTCTAAAATGTACAGTGTTAATTTATTTATTGAACTGTTGTGTGAAATCAGTTTCACATTTGCAATAGGTCAGATATTTGGGGAAAAAATATAATCTCTGTTATTATTTTCCCCAAATTAACCTGTGGAATCAATAGCCCTAGTTTTATATAACGTCAAATTATTGTAATCATAGATAAACTTGTTTGTAGCACAAAACCGGTTATTCTTCTAGTTCTAGTGTCAACTGTCTAAGAAATTGGAAGTCTTGCACATTCAGAGCTTCTGCATTGCAAAATAAAGTGGTTCTGGAACTTTAATAGCTCACAACAAACAACATTGTGTGTTATTGTCTGTATTTTAAGATGGTTTTTCTGTCCATTACATTTGTAGAGGAGTTCTCACGTGTGCGTGAGGAAGTTCCCACAGAGCTGGTGGAGGCTCATGTGAAGAAGGTACAGGAAGCCGCACGCAGCACAGGAAAAGTAGACCCTGCGTTCGGCCTGGAGAACAGTGGCATTGCCGGTACAGCTCCTGAGGAACCAGAGAAGACGGGTAATTTTGCATGCAGTGAAATTAGGAAAACTCATCAACAGCTGTGATGGGTGGGTTTTCCATCTTGCTAATTGTTCCTGTGTAGTTCTAGCTGCTTCCACCAGGTGGCATCAGATCAGTACTTCTGGACTAATAGACAAACCCAATGACCCTGATCAGCTGTGCATGTAAATAAAATCAAAAAAAAAAATAATCAAATAAAAAAGAATATATAAAATCTCACCTACACACCTTTCTAAACTTTATAGACCTTGAATAATACATTAATTGTGAGACAGCACAACACCAGAGGCAGCGTGCCGATGGCTTTATGCAGCGTTAGCAGATGGGGCACAGATGTGGGAGGGGTTGAAACTGGGTCAGTGGAGTGACCTAGTGTGACATGGTGTGCCAGTGCAGGCTTTGCCACACATACCTTATTAAAGGCTCCAACGCCACAACTCTTTGTTCAGCTCTGATGCTCTAATGCCTGTTCATAAGGTCATTCACTCACTTGGTCATGCTGTACTCTTCCTTAATGGCTGGTTCATTTTGTTTTGTGTTTTTTGCCTTCTGTGTGCTGTCAGGCTCTGTAGTTTGACTTTTCAATGCATTTGTTTGTGTTCACACTGATACTTCATTGTCCACTATGGCTACATTTCATACACAATTTTCCCCTCACATGTGCACTGCTGTTGAAAAGTTTGGGGTCAGTCAGATTTTTTTTTTTTAAAGAAATATCTTAATGTAACAAGGCTGCATTAAATTGATCAAAAAGTGACAGTAAAGACTTTTGACATAAATATATAATTTAATTAAATGCATGAAAAGTGGTTTTCAAATCATGGTTTCTACAAAAATATCAACATTTTCAGCATAGATAGTAAGAAATGTTTCTTGACCATCAAATCATCATAGAATTATTTCTGAAGGATCGTTTGATGCTGAAGATGGGACATTGTATCACAAAATAACATTTTGAAATGTATTAAAACAGAAAACAGTTATTTAAAATTATAATAATACAAAATGTAATATTCAAAAGGTAATGTAAATTCAGTAATAATTTACAGTATTGCTTTTTACTGTGTTTTTGACCGAGTAAATGCAGCCTTTGTGTGAGGTTACTTTAAAAAACAAAACAAAAAAAACATGCTTTTTAGGCAGTTATGGGCCGCATTAAGAGGGACTTATTGACAATCTCATAAAAATAAATTTGTGCCAAAAACAGTGTTTTACTGCAGCTGAGGTGCTTTCCAAGATATATATATATATATTTGCCTTTAGGTTTCTTTTTGTCCAATGCACTCTACCACATTGCATTTGATGTTTTAATCTATTTTTTTCCCTTTACTCGCAGAACCTACAGAGACTGAGAAGATGGACACTGACTTGGATTCCCAGCCTGATAAGGTCAGATATGGCCATACCACCAGTAGTCCTTTGTATTTGCTACTAAGTCATGTTTATGGATTGTTTAGAATCAGATCAGAAGTGATTTATCATTTCCCAGCATTGTTGGGATTCCTTGCAATGCGCCTCTCTATATTGAGTCTAGTTCTTCCAAGTTCACTTTCTATACAGTCATCTGTACCATCGCTTCATTTGCATTTCAGTTGTCTCATACTGTCTGACTCACGTCTCGCCATTCCCCATCTCATCTGTTGCAGGCGGAGTCAAAGGATGAAGCAGAGAAGCCCAGCGAGTCTGCGGAAAAGCCGACAGAGACAGAGAAGGAAAAGAATGAGACTACAGAAAAATCTGAGCCGCAGGAAGAGGAAGAGAGTGAGGGAGGAGAATCCAAGACAGCAGGTACAGACACTGGAAGCCACAGCGGCAACAAATGCTCATGGGCTTTCCTGAAATCTGACACACGCTGACAGAAATCTGCTTAATGCCTGTTAAATTGAGCCATGATGCTTGTGTGTGCGATGCAATTTTGAGGCGCTACACCCCTTTCTTTTTTCAAAACATTGGACTTAGCTTTGCACATTATCAAAGTTTTTTTTATTTATTAATTAATTAATTAATTTTTTTTAAGTTACCATTTCAAAAGATGGTGGTCACCCAAAGATGAAATTTTACTCACGCTCAAGTTGTTGCAAACCTGTCTGAGTTTCTTTTTTCTGCTGAACACAAAAGATATTTGAATAATGTAGGTAGTATAGAAAAATAATGCTATGGAAGTCAATGGGAACTATCAACTGCTTGGTTACCCACATTCTTCAAAATGTCATATTTTGTTTTCAGCGGGGAGAAAGAATTCCATACAGGTTTGAAATAACTTGAGGGTAAGTAAATGATGACAGAATTTTTATTTTTGGGTGAACTCTCCTTTTAACACAAAAATAATACATTAAAATATTTTAAAATAATAATACATCTTTTCAGCAAATCCAAATACATAAAATCAAATGAGCCGCTAGATTTACATACAGTATGCTTTTAAAACAAACAAGAACTGCTACATTTCTAGAGGTCGACCGATTCATCGGTTTTGCCGATTAATCGGCACCGATAGTTGATTGGCGGAACTATCGGTTATCGGCAAAAATCAATGCCGATAGTTTTCCGGGTTGCTGGAGTGGCTGAGAAGGGTCCGCTGCCATTATACAGTACGAGAGCGGCCTCTAGAGGCGGAAATCACTAACAGCACGTGTTGTTTGTTTTGACACGTGACACTGCGCGCT